ATTCGTAAAGTATTATTCATAGCTGATTCAATAAAGAAATTGGAATATTTAGATAGAAATTTCTATTTATATAATGTAAATTCTATTAAGAGATTAATTTTAAATCTACTATGTTAATAATTGTCTTCAAGGGTTTTTAATTTCTTTTTATTATTCACAAAAATAAGAAGAACAATGCTTATCTAATATAGCAAAGCAAAAAAGGACGCTTCAATTGTATCATGCGCAAACACTCCTTCCTGCAGTTGTTACACACTACGTATAGTAAAATCGCATTTTTAGGGGGGTTGTTATGTTAAAAGTGTAGCATTCCCTGTGCTGGAACTCGCAGCTGTAAGTCCAGCCAACGATGCTGACACCATTTCAGGAAACATTTCCAGAAACTAGAAATCAAATATTTTCTGAAACAGAAAATTATGTTCAAATTTCTTACATTGCAGAATAATGCGTTGTGGATGCTGCGCTTCAGTCAACGGAGTAAGAAAAAATCAAAATATGACTCATTGTTTTAAGTAAAATGAAGTTGTAATCATGTTGTAATACTATGTAATACATGTTGTAATACTAACACAATGTAAAATGAAACAAAGAATGCGAATACGTTATAATAAAGTTATGAAAGTTTAACACCCGCTTAACAATTCGTGTTTTTTAATTACCGAAAATAGCTGCCATAAAATATACAGATAAAAATGTTGTCCGAAATTGTTTCTACCTAATTAGTTGGAATAAGCAATTTAAGTGGAAAAACTTACTAGCTCTAATGCTCGTGTATTAAAATAACTAACTACCTTAAAAATTTTACATAAAGTGAAATTTTGTTACACAACTCTGAGAATCAGTAATGGAAAAAAAAAAAAAAAAAAAAAAAAAGATGCACTCCAAAAATTTGTAGAAAAGAAATTTTGCAGAACTGCCTGAACTGGTATTCCGTTAAAAACTTTCCATTTTATCACTGTTAAGCGTAATTAAGCATGTATATTTTTTCTTCTCAAAACATTAATTACTTCCTGGACTTTTTTTTCCAAGTGTCTGGATTTCTTCTGTCTACTGTTTCCTCTCGAAGGGGAAACCTGGTTTTGTGCGCATGAGTTAGTTTTCCTTTGACAGATTGTTGTGAATTTCTTAATATGGAGCTAAAGCCATATGAATTTCTCGTTTGAATTTTGCGCTGTTTTTACTCAAGGTTATCTGCATCCCAAAAATATGATTTTTATGCTTCGTTTAATTCATACCTCCACTGCGATTTTAATATAAATTGTGAGGTTTTAGATTTTCATGTGCATTATTATTCTGAGAATCTATTTAATTTGGATTTATAAGGTATTTCTCCCGCCTTTATGGCATGCCCTCGTGGTGTGGTGGTCTGCACGCTGGGCACGTATGATTCTCGGCGAAGGCAATGCTCATTTTTCATGATTCCTGCTTCCAAAAATCCTAATATCTCTACAGATTTAACTTGCATCAAAATAATTTTTTTAATGTTGCTCTTAAGTACAAATTCCATTTTATTAACTATCAAAAAATCAAAAATCTTTTCAGATATCTTTATTTTAATATACCTCACCCTTAAAATTAACAATTGTAGATAGAACATACATTTTCACGAACATAAATATGTTAAAGAGTAAAAGCTAAGCAAATGAAATTAATAACGCAAGAATCTTGAGTTTGGCGTAGATTTAGTCAAGGTCTCAATCGATTTCGAGGGCAATTAAGTACAGCTCCCTCTTCGTGAGGAGAAAAGACATCTGCAAAACTGGAAAGCAATGATAGCCAGGGTCGTATTTATACTCCATAAAAAGTACATAACGCAAGTCCACACTCCCAAACGCATAGTTCTTGCGTTATTAATTTTATGTTTCACTTGGCGTGTTTCTGTTATGTTTCCAAAAACAATGAGTTTTCCAATAAGCTATATACAAAGTTGTTCAGAAACTTTGTTGTGGAAATAACTTGGAACGTGATATCTGCCGTGAGTAATACAAGTTGTTTGCGGGCATAATATTACTGAAAGTTAATTACATTACATATTAATAGAATAGCAGTTACATAAGTAATTAAAATGAGCTATTTTTTATGAACGAAATGTTAAAAAGAATCATTTTAAAAATAAGGTTTTAAATGCTTAGTTGTGGAAGAACACATGGATAATATACTGTGCTTTTAAGAATAATTGTAGAATCTTTTAGAATCATATACAGTGAACTTTTTAGAAAAGAAATACTTACGGTGACAAAGCAATGAATCAATATAGAGAAGATCTACATACAATATATAATTGCTTTTTAATATTTATAATACATAACTTTAATATTTTTAAATTTCTAAAAAATATTAAAAAATGCTTTCGTGTCTTCTTATCTTACAGTAGTTATTTCACATATTCTTCATAAACAATCCTTCACACACTATATAAACAAACAAAAGGGAAATAAAATAATAATAAAAATTTGAAAAACGAAAAACAGCAATCCTATATTAGAAAAGGGGAGAAAATATGTGTTCTCCAATATTTTTTTCATTTCAAAATTTGTGTTGCTCTAATATTACAGATTTTAAGAACTAACTCCTCTTTTTATTTATTTATTTTTATTTTATGCTTTTTGATCAAATTTTCATTTATTATATTTTCGCATGTTGTATTGCTTCTGTTTTACATGTTTTTTTGGTCTTGGTTAGCATAAATTTGTTATTATTATTATAATTATTATTAGATTTTTAAACTTTTTTCATTGTTTATGATTTTGATGCTATAACTTTTTAAAAAAAGTGTTTAAGCCGGCCTTTGGGGTTTTAAAACTTACATATTGTTACGTGCACGCGTGTAATAGTAATGAACTGAATGCACACAGAACTGATGATACCTTGATAAAATTTATTTTTCTAGAAGAAACACTTTATAGTTCTGGTATCTTTCACAGAAGTATTCGTACAGCTCTTCTCAGTATGACAGAGCACAATTAGTAGTTATCACTGCAAACTACTAAGAAAGTTAAGCATAAAGTAGTCCAAATCGCATCTATAGAGAGAAACTCGCACTCCGAACTCAACTCGGAACTAAAACCTGGACTAAACTGTGTCTTTGGTCTTATATAGCTTTCCACCGACTACCGAGAAATTTCTAGTATCTACGATTTTTCTAAATAGTTCAAAGGCATAAACATTTAGAGTTACATATAAGGACGAATACTGTTACAGTGATCACATATAGGTATCAAACCAATTACAGTTATACAGGGATCCGACCAAAATGTCTCCAAGTGCTCGTCTAGTTAGGCGAGCAATTTACCTCAATGATAAGGGGTCCTGGAAATCCCTATATACCAGTGGTTCTTAACCGGGGGGTGCCCGCACCCCCAGGGGTGCGGGAATGTATTTTTGAGGGTGCGCGAGAAGCCCCTACCTAACCATAAAAATTATTAAATATCATTTATTAAATTTCTTATAATAAAAATATTTGAAATCTGCAATAGTGCCCCAATATTGAAGCTCATAAAAATTGGTAGCACCTAGCTCCCTTATCGGCAAAAGACACAGAAAAAAGCCGGTGCTGATGGGCGTATACACTACGCTACGAAAAGGCATGTAACGCTACAAACGAACGTGAACAGGCAGCTAGATGACGGAGAAAAGAAAAAACACTTTGTGGGAAATCATACCTCAAGAAATATCTACATAAAATCAGCCTCCAAATGTGGGAAGAAGAATGGACAACAATAAATACAGGAAGACAATTACATTAAATAGCACCTCATGTAAATGATACATGTACAATGGTCAATGGTTATATAAACCGCTTTTTAACTGGACATGGGCCATTTCCCACATATTTCTTCAGAATAAACATCTCAAACTCTGAGCAATGTGTATGTGGAAATAAAGGTTATCCAATACATTATATTGCTCAATGTCCTTTAACAAAGTCAACTCATATTAAGTTGCCTAATTCAAATATCAATGCCTTCCTACGTTTTGCAATTAACAACAAACCTTTAAAAAATTAAGTAGAAAATAAAATTAAATATCTATCTTCAATAGGCAAAACTTTATGTGAGCCCTAACGTAATTAATGTCAAAATTCATTTTTGAAGCTGCAATTCATCTAAAACTTTTATTATCTAATTATCTTAAAAACAAACCTTTGCAATAATAACGATATAGTAAAATAAGGGAAAAGAAAAGGAAGAAAATAAGGATTCATATAATAAACTTTATCTCAAGGAACTATTATGAACTGTTATAAATTATGACTGTTAGCCTACTATTATTATACCTATTGCAACTACTATAATTATATCTAATAGATATGATATCAATCAAAATGTCGATATACTATTTATACTGTTTATAGTTATTTATGGATTTTTTATAAAATATTCTTATTTCGAAATAACAATTAAAAAAATTCTATTGAAAATCAATACATAAAAGTGATTCCTTGCGATCAGAGAATAAAGAAATTGTTTGCTAACGTCCTTAAGGAAAAATATATGAATTATATAGCTTTATTTGTTATATATATTTTTGCATATTTGTATTTATGCTTAGTTAGTTAATACTTTTTTAGAACTTACTAATGAATTTTTAAGCTAACTTATTACTGAAAACTTACACATAAACCTTTTAAACTAGGAATCAGCTATGTTTTTGAATATTTGAAATATTATTTCATAAAAAGTATTGTAAATAATATGTTTTTTTTTTTTTTTTTTTTTTTTTTTTTTTTTTGTTTTTTTTTTTTTTTTTGGTATAAAAGAAAATGTTAACAGCTTCTTAAAAGAATTAAAATTAACTTAGCATTAATAATCTTAAAAAAAACTTAGTATATATAATCTTCATAAAAATAATATTACGTTTTTAAACTTTTATTTAGCTTAACATGACTGTAGTAAAAGAAATCGTACTACGGAAATTTCCTAAACAAGTTAAACAAGGAAGAATAACACTCAGCGGATGACTCCCTGAACTAACTTTTCTGCAAGAAGTTTTAAACTCACCTGTTCCGCTGCGATCGAATCTTGTCGTTTGCATACGGGAGGAAGACTCTGAGCACCATTCTCGTTGACCTTAAGAAGCTAAGCTGAATGAAATAAAAAAATAATGTTTGAAGGTGTGTCTCAGCTGAAGGAAAGAGGTGGGAGTTTTAGGACAACAAAACCCTTCACAGCTGTAAAACTCGAGACTATATGACTCTGTTTCAATCTTACTCAAGTTAGAACCTATTTACAATGAGATGCATTAAATCGTAAGACGTAAATGTCATAAAAATCTGAGACATTCACCTGGTCGAAGCATTTAAAGTAATTATAATATTATTACTGTGCTAGGGCGATCCCCGAAGAAGTAATCTTATAAGCACTGATGGTTCCTGTTTATGAATGTTGGTTGTGAAATCAGGAAGGATCGTTAAAAGTTAAACCTACCTACGACCATTTCTCCCAGCCCACAGCATATGGAGATTGGAGTATAAATTATGTTTAAATGTATGTCACGTGATTTTCACGTCTTTTTGAGTTAGTAAAGGGAAGCCCCATTGAGTAAAAAAGGCGAGCTGACGTTTTCGATTTAATAATTGGATAACATGGTGGAAATCTCTTCTCGGAGCAATATGTTGTGATATTTCGCCTTGTGATGCGTGCGTACGGGTTCGTAATAGATTGAATGCACATGATAGGTTAATAAAATTTATTTTTATCAAATAAAAACACTTAAAAGTTCTGGAATTTTCAGCAGAAATATTCGCACAGGTGTTCACAGTATTACGGAGTACAATTAGTAGTTGCACTTCAAACTACTAAAAACGACCCAAAGTAAAGCGTACCTAAGGAGAAGGCGGAGATATCTCAGTCCAGGCTAAACTAACAAATCGCAATAATAATAATTAAGCAACTAACTGAGAGGAAATTCTCTCTCCGGTTATATAGTTTTCAAACTGCCGCCGAGATGTTTCTAGTGCTTTCTGCTTCTCTAAAATACTGCAAAGTAATATGAGAGTCAAATTACGGTTACAGCTAACACAATAGTCAATTCCATTAATAAGAACAGCTATTCTTATTGATAGTGTTATTGATAGTGATAAGAATAGCTGAAGAGAAGTTTAGGTTGTTAGTCTTTCAAAGATGTAGTGTTTTAGAGCAGAAGTTTCCAATTCTATGCCCGCGCCCGCCGATCGTTTAATGTGTGTCCGTTGCTGTTCGATCAAAATAAAAATGTTTTAGTTTTCAATAAAATTATATAAGAAATTTTTCTCCTTTTTAATGAAATAGAAATTGCGTCCAACACAGATACTAGCACAAAGCGAAATGCTACCGATCTCTCTTTTATGTGCATGTATCCAAATGTAAATTCACTTTGAAAAACTAAATGGTGCCCGCTGTCCAACAGATATTCTTGAATGTGCTCTTGGGAAGAAAACGCTTGGGGATCCCTGTTATACAGGGAGAAATAATGTGTACACGGAAATATAACTATGTTTAGCACAGCCTATTATAAAAGAAGTTCCTTAAGCATTTCGTATCACTTTCTAATCAATGAAAAATAATTTTATTGAAGAAGGTAAAGTATTTTTGAAAATCAGGAAGATTGTTGGATTTCTCTTTCTTTCTGTCTTTTTTTAATGAGTATGAAATTATTCTTAATTAATTTACGCTAAAGATTTTCCACAAAATCATTTCTTTCAGCACGACTGAAATTAATTATCTTTAAATTTTAAACCAAGAAAGAATTGAAACTTATGTAATATTTTTTAACAAACTGATAACTTTGTACGAATTAATTTGACCCTAACATCGGTATCGCAATCGTTAATTGGAAATTTTTTAAGAAAAAATTTATAATTATTTGACAGAAAAAAATTAAAGCAATGCCCACCTTCTTCTGTAACGGAAATATTGCTTAACACCTAAAAGTAATAAGAAATGTAAACTCTGTGAATTTTGGCCTGCTGATATCAAATGTATAATTACCTTTATTCATCTCGTTTGCATATTTTGAAGTAAATATACTAAAAAAGATGTAAACTATTTTGTATAGTTTCTTTTTATTTTTTAGCCCAAAAGAGCTACAGTCTCGAAACGCAATTTTGAATTGATTCATTTTAATGCTTTGTTTCACCTTTCATTAGAATCTGTTGCCATTCGGAAAATTGTAAGATATTTTTCTTTCAAATTTAATACGTATGTTATTGAGTAACAAACTAAGCTATTTAAAAACAATACATACAGGTCTTAAGAATACTATTCTTTTAATTCTTAATTTGACTGATTTGTAATCAAATACCTTTTATTCATGATATATCGAATAAAAACATTAAATACATTTTATAAAATGAAGTTACATTTTACAGAAAATACATAACGTTTCCATGTCAGTCTAACTGGATATTCATTTAGTATTCCACAAAATACTTCCTTATTTCACTTGAGCATCTCTATTAATAGTCTCTACTGATAAAAATATATGGAACTTTAAAACAGCCCTTTTGGGAGACAGTTAAAATGTGCACTCTTTCAGGCTTTGTTTTTAGCTTTTAATTTTATCTTATTATGGCTGAACTACAAAGTACTTCTTGTAAAAATTTTTATGCTAAATATGCATTTATTTATGCATAATTACAATTACCATATTTCCATATTTCTTGAGATTTAAGACGCTTATATAAATGTCGCTAAAATCAGAGTGCCCTTAGAATGAATAGCATTTTCGAATTGTAGAATTTTTGTGTTGTACCAATATCACTTTCTGAAATGAAATTTTCCAGACTGCTAATTTAAATAGGAATTCTATTCCTGACACCACATTAAAGTCCAATATTAGAAAAATATTTGGTGGATGTCTTTTAATTTATGATTTTATTCATTTTGTTTTCTTAGATTAAGCCTTTTTCTCTGTTGATAGGACTGATATGAGAAAAATGATTTCAGAACTGAAGAAATACCGTATGTCATTCTTGAGTAATATATTTAAGGCTTTTTTTTCATTTGCTTATTATTATTACTTATGTTATGCTATTTATTTTCTAAAAACATAGTTTTTACTTTCAATATTTTTGAATTATTCTGACTTATTTTTAAAACTGTAGAGTACGCCTATAAAATTTTCACGTGGAATAGATACTATTAGTAAATTATGATTATTTATTAATCAACTCCATAATTTGCAGGTAGATTTGAATGTAAAGAACAAGAAGATATACGTAGGTATATCCAAAGTTTTCCTGCTTGACATAGGTTTGAAAGAAACAGAGTAAATTTCAACAGTTCAGTATTATCTCCTTTCGCTTCAATATTTTTTTCCCATCATTTAATGAATAACTTATGCCCTGAAAAGAAATCTGAAGGTTTGTTCTCAAATTATTCCATTAGCGTTTAAGCCATCATCATAATTAAATTCCTTTCCTTGAAGGTCAGATTTTAGTTTGTAGAACAAATAATTGTTCTTGGAGATAATTGTTCAGCTGTATAAAATTTCTCTGCTTTGCCCTGCAACAAATGCTTACAGCTAACGACATGTCGATGATTTTGAACTGCTGATAGAAGCTGGGGTTCGATACCTGGACTGAGCTGACTTAGCCTTTCATTCCTTCAGTGGATCAATAAAATGAGTACCAAGTTCACTTGGGGATTAAACACCAGGGACTTGCGACCAATCTGCCCACTTGTCCAGGGTAAATGCTCATGCACCCCGGAGTCCACACGGTCTAGAAAGCATACATCAGGGCACAGCAGACCATGGCTCATTGAGAGTTGTTGTGCCATTGAGTTTAATTTTAGTTTTAGACAGCAGTTGAGGTGCCCATATTGCAGAGACATTGTACAAAAATTTAGTTCTGTGTACAAAATTTGAACTCGATAGCTTATCAGGAAGTAAGTTAAAAATCGATATCAATATCCCATTTAGAGTGAAACACGAAGATTGAAATAAATAAAAGGTAATTTTAAATTACAAATATTCTATCGCGCATTTGATATTGTCTAATAAAAATATATTTTCAGTAATGTATGCACATATAAGGATCATTTAATACAGAAAATTACATTGTGTTAGTTTTCCCGCTTTAAAACAAATACTGCTTTCTCTACGTTTTGATTATATTAGCTAAAACGTAAAATCATAGATCCGCCATAGTGATCAAATTTTCGATGAAAATTATCAAATCAAATTGCTTCCTAAAATTATTTAATGTTTCAATGCAAAGTTTGCGTGCGGATGATAGTCACTTTTATTTTTATTTTTACTCACATATGACCAAAAATATTGGGATAGGTAAAAACATTTTTTGTTTTTTTGTTTGTTTTTTAAACGTTTAAGACGTTTAACCTATTCTACTTTTTAGCATACTCGTTTCTGTAAAATGGATCAGTAATTTAAAATTTCCGTAGCGTAAGAAATACGCAAGAAAATTTATAAATATGCGCAATATCTTCAATGTTTTCGATGAAATCTCTAAGTTACACAGTGATGAACGTAAACATGAACAAAATAAAATTAAATTTTGATGTTGCTTTATACACGGAATGAATTTCTTTAGTAATGAATGGCTTACCAGCGGCCAAGCGGTTTAATCGTTCAACACTGGTAGTTCGGTTCGGAGCTCGAATACCGGCAAATGAATGGCTGCAAGGGCATGTTTTGGGTTTATTTTACATGTTTAACGTGCATATGCTACAGTTCTCCTTAGAAAGTCCTGCATGAAGGCATCCCTCCTCTTAGGCAGAGAGCCTTCTAGTGCTTTGACTTAATAAATCTAAACCTTTAATAATGAATGTACTATTATTTTCGCCATTCTCAGCTAAATGTTCTAAATGTCTTCTTTTATAGCCAGTATGAATCGTTTTTGAAAGTATTTGCTTGCTGTGAATTTATTATATTCAATTATACAGCTTTTAGAATTCACAAGAGGAAAATTATTATTCTTATCCTAATATTTGTTCTATCATCGTAACCAACGAAAAACAGTTAAAATTTGAAAGGTAAAATGTGAATTTACTAGAAACGTATATTACTAATAAATAATCTACTGTACTATTGAAATCTGTACCTGTTTGTCTGTCTGTTTGTTTGCTTGCAACATCATCCCCTCCTGAACGGCGGGAAGTTGAGTTTCAAGAGAAGTACTCGCGAATTCCAAAAATTCGTGGGAACCTATTTCGACAATTCTCATCTTCATATGAATTTAATCAGATCTTAGTTAAAAACTCTAAAAATGCTAATTTTCGCACTAATTTTTTGAGTGGCAACAGTCTTGCGCCCTGGAGATAAAAATTTTTATTTTGAAAATTGTTGCCATTACTCGCTTTCAAAT